GGGACATTATCTGATAGGAATGCTGAGACTTATAATACCAGAAGACTCTTTCCAATTTAATGGAAAGGATTAAATTAACTGCAAAAACCAAGGACGAAGATCCTGGTAGTTGTAGACGTAGGATCTCAAGAAAAGAGATCTAATCAGCCAAAGTATAAAGAACCAAAAACGAGAAGTCCAAAGACTACTGCAAAGCTGATTCAGAACAAGGAGTATTTTTTTCATAACAATATTTCGGCTGGCCATACCAGCCTTCTTCAGGTTTACAGATGTTACTGAACTTATGTAGGAATCAGAATATTATATAGATGGAAAATGTCGCAATAAAATTGTTTAAAAGGGAGAGAAGGAAATGACGTACATGGATTACAATAATTCCTCACGGCAGTTTAGGCCATAAGGTTCAAGAGTCATGGCCTTATATATCAAATGCGACTACCTGGCCTTAAGTACGAACTGAGTCACGAAAGACTTTCTCCAGACCCATGGCAGAGCTATAGGGACTAAGACTGCAGTCTCTTCTAAAATTGAGACAGCAATTATTGATCAACATAATACAAAACCGTTGCTATGGAAGAGATATATCGATGACGTGTTTTCCCTATGGGACACTAATAGAGAGGACCAGGGTTATGGGCTCCTGAGAGGACTTAAAATTATATACTCTCAGTACACTATAATAATCATATATAAGGTATTTACCTTGGATTCCTTCCTGGTTAGGGTGACCGAGGAAGACTCGGCACCAAAAATTGCCACAACTGCATGCTAAAATTCATCTAATTCAGCTGACTGTAATTGACAATGAAAAAAGAAAAAACTTAGGTAGTAAACGAAGCTGTTATGGAAGACAGCCGACCTGTAAATGTTTCAGATGAGCCAAATGATAAAGAAAGCGAACTAAAAAAGGAAAGACCTAAGAGCTTACATTTGGAGAGCTCCAACTTGGACACCGACCAGCAACGAACCCCTGAGGACGATACAGGATCAGGAGAAACCATAAGGTTACAGATCTTAAAGATTGGGGGTTTCAGTAGATATCAAGTTAGAAGTAGTTATTGTTGCTTTGTTTAAAAATATATTATGTTACTTGACTGGTTTCTTTTTACTGCCAAAGGAAAACCAAGGAGTTTTCTTCATCGCAAGAAGATCTTCAGTCACGTAACAACGGTGAAAGTCGAGAAAGGTAAGGAGTAGTTTGTTTTAGATTTTCGTTCATTTAGATCAGCTTTCTATTTCACCGTCAAATTGGGATCTTTTGGAGACGATATGTTACTGAAGATATTTTTTTAGGTGCAATAAAATTTTAAAAAACTGACAAATTTATATTCGGGGAGTCACATTTATATATTTATATATTTTTTTTGTAAAATAGTATTTTACAAAATTACGGAAGACCATGAAATACCAGAATGACAGCATACCCTCCAACAAGACAATATCCTTTGAGGTACTTGCATGAAAATGTCGCGTAATCACTTTCGACGCCAGCGCCGGCAACTCAAAACTCATAAACTACGTAAGCTTACTTTATTAAGAGTATGACTCTTGTATGGCTCCTTAATTTTCTTCGCTCGCTTTTTTCTTTCATCCAGTATATCTTGGATCCTGTTGAACAGATATTCTCAGCTTATATTCAATATTCTTGGCCAACAATTTCATTTTATGGTCTGAAAAATACCCCGGTAGTTGCTTAATTATGTAGGTTTTCGTCCTAGGGGGTGGGTAGGTAGTGGCTTTAAATTCCTTAATAACCTGAAAAAAGAGATTTTTGTAGCTGGTAGTTTTGCTCCCTTTTTTTCACTTGTACATGTTTGCCTCAAAAAATCAGGGTCCAGATGTAGAGTACTTATTTATTTTGGTGTAAGTAGAAAATTACACTGTATTCTTCGTTTTCTCTCTCACGCAATAAACACAGCACTACAAAATAAATTAGAAACTGTCTAGTGGAGGAGTCAAAAAATGAAATGTTATAAAAGACTAATATATGAACAATTTGCCCAAATCTCAGGTCTTTGTGGTCCACAGTTTCTGAGTTATTTGCCGAAACATTTCACGCACTTTTGCAGAGCTTTGTATGGAGACGCCACATATGGCCGCCTGAAATCAGCAAAAACATCTGGAGTTCACTTTTTCCATAAAAGCTCTTTGTTTTCACTCAAGAGCTAGCATACGTGCGCATAAACACATCTTTTAATACTTGAAATGGTTAAACTGCTGAAAATCAAGAGCAGAGACATTTTTCAATGAGACATCAATTTCCTATTTTGGTGTCACGCACTGAGAAAACTCAGAAGTTCAAATTGCTGTATTTTTGAAATGAAACATGCTTCAGGGCTGGAAACTGTACTTGTACAAAGATTTATGTTCTATTTATCTTAAACTTAGGGTAAATAAGAATTTGTAAAACCTCGCTTTTTTGACTTTGCAATCTGATGACGTCACAGTTAAAACCATCAATGCTGTCATTATTTTACAGTAGATTAAATTATTAAATGCTATGATTTCCAGTCTTTGTGTATTACTCTAACAATTTGTATGTTACCATGAGGTATCCTTTCATAGATCCTGCTTGTTTTATTTTTAGTCCTGAAGATGTTGATGACAATGGCCAAAGACCTTCTTCAAGAGGGTAACAGCTGATTAACTTCTGGTTTCCTTTACTGGTTGTTAGTACTTTGTTGAAATGAGTGCAGTCATGACAGACACTTAGTCAAGTTGTTTCCTGTAACTGGGTCATGTAGCAGCTGCTCAGAAGAGAAGTCACCAATAGTGCGTTTCCCTGACCCCAAACAGTACTAAAACAATTGGAAGTTACTGTACAGTAACAAAGGACACTGGTTATCCCTCTCTGGAATACTCGTCGAGGATATGATGGGTAAACAAATAAGTAAAAAAGTCGGACACTGACGACCTGAGTTTTGAGATTCAACGACAGATAAGTAGTCAGCGCCAACAGTGTCTGACTTGTGCTTCAGATAGTTTACTATTAGATGAACTATTGCTAACATCACTGTTTACACTTTTGCTCATTAGCATATGAATTAACCCATGGAAGATGTCACTGTACGTACAAATTAGGTTCAGAACTTTAAAGAGCTCATTAATTTGAGCAGTTTGTGCAATTTCCAGCTCTTAACAATTGATAACATAGGAAATAGCAGCAATAAAGAACTATGATTCAATTGCTGGGCGGCAAAACTGTTAATAAGCGAATAAATCCTTCAGGGTTTTCATTAAGTGATGGTAACCGGCTAAAAAAATAATGGTTACTTTGAGGTCTGAGCCGTCTACTTTTGGGGGAAAAAGGGTAAAGTGAGGGAGTGAAAGCTTTAAATTGCCTACAGAACTCGATTGCCAAGCCGCCAATTTTTACATCTTAGATGACTACTTTAAAGCTTAATGAGAACTGTCATCCTTTGTAAAGTTTGGGGTTTTTCAAAGAGAATTTCTCTGAAACTATTTGGCATATTGGGCTCAAATTTTCAGACATTACTGAAGTTATTGTGCTCAGTTTCATTTTTCAGTGATTTCATTATATAAGCTTAATCCCTAATAATAATAAGCACCCCAAATACTTTTAGGATGTATAAGATTGAAGACTATGGGACTACAAGTGTTTGTCTGAAGCATGCTTTTGGCAAAGGCTGGCAGTGTCACCATTAAACTCATTAATGTACCAGTCATTTCCAAAACCGTCCATCCCCCTTAACATATCCCAAGTATTTGACTGGAGTTTTGCTCCATAACACAAAAGAGGCCCCTCCTTTCAGGCATTTGACTTTTGTGTCAAAACACTGGTCAGCCTCACAAGCAAAATGATTTTTTCATTCTTTCCACATTCAGCACATGCACTGTGTTCAAGGATCATTGCTCCTCTATTCACTGGTTTGTTGGAGCATTTGAGAGCCTTTGAAAAGCCCATTAAATATGGGCTTTCTGGAATGAACAATTTTATTGAAATGAGCTTATAAACCTCCTAAGACAGCTTTCCAAGACCTTAGATACTGGGGTTGTGTTTTGTAGGATATTTTCATTTGAATAAACAGTTTGACAAAATAAAAGTTTGAAAATAGTCGCTGGTAAGTGGGGGATTCGGCACTTTTTGAAGCGCTAGGCAGTGGGGCATTTGACCCTCTAAACTGCCAACATAATGGGGAATTTGACCAAAAATTTTCAAATAAGTGAAGTGCCTGGGGGTTTGCTCAGGAAGAGGGGATGTGGGTGGTTTTGGAATTGACTAGTACATAAGAATGCTAGAGAAAGCCCTTTAATTTTAACCTTATATAATAAGTAATAATAATTATTATTTGTTATTATATTTTAATCCATTTACATTTTATCTCATTTTAGTCAAACTATAGCAAACAGTTTAAAGTCCAAAATAAGAGATCTGAGTCCTTCAAGAAAGCTGGCATCAAATGTTAGTCCTGTTTCCAAGACAGCAGAGAGAAAAACCAGCAAGGCAAAACCAAAACAACCTGTAAGTTACTTTATAATTAAATCAATTTTGTCAGCTGAAACAATGCTATAATATGTCAAGTATTATTGACTGAGACTGAATATGATTCAAAGAATTAAGCAGAGGGTATAACCTCTTCTCAAGATCTACGTAATTTTTCATGTCATATATTAAAGCTGAATTCAAATAATTGTGCTCCGAATTAATTCTTACAGACATCCTTAGGTCCATGTAGACTTCCTTTGAAACATTTTCCTGTTCCTCTTATCCTGTTCAGGTAATAGGATATAAAAAAATTTTTTTTTTCTTGCAGATACAGTATCCCTCAAAAAGCAGTTCATGTGTCTTGAGTAATATTTTTGCTCAATGTTGCTTTCTTTGTATAGCTTTTGAACTCTTTTGCCTTTTTTCTTGAGTTCTTTACTCATACATGTATATCAAAACAGAAAAGCTTCCCAGTTTTTGTCTGGCAGGACTTTAATCATAGTTGATTTGCAATACAATAATTATCAGTGACTTCCCAGTAACTGACATCAATGATGGTTCATGTATAATCTACTAAGCATCTTCCAAATTTAGTCAGCATCTGTTGCAAAATAAATAATTAAGTAACGTCACAAAGGAATGAAGTGTCTGATGCAAGATTGAAAAAAGTTTACAATTTATAAATCAATTTCATTGTCTCGAATACAGTGTTAACAATGTTGATGATACTTAGTCAGGGTTGTCACTAAGATTTCAGGTTGCTGTGGGTAAATACGACAAGAAGGGGGGTGGGGATCAAACAGCTAGTTCTAGGGGTTTCTTTTGGTTCTACTTTTCTTCTTTTTTCCTTCGAACGTATCATGGGGCCACATTCATTGTAGCTGGGGAAATCCCTGGCCCCCTCCTTTTAAAGACAGCTCTGCTTTTTGTGTCTAGAAAACTCTGTACATTTCTTTGTCTAAATTGCTCATTATCTCTAAGAGACAACTCATTATGACTCCTACTTTTCTATTATTGGACACAGTGGTGGATGAACAGTGACCATGGGTCCAGGGACTATCCCAATGGACTACACCAATATGGGTTCCAAACACACCAACCATAAGCAGGGTTCTTGATACACTAATCACTAACAACCATGGTGGTATAAATAATAGTTCTACTCAGTAAATTGACACTGTCGCCTGATGAAGACCTGCAGTACACGGCCAAATTGTCACAATCAATATCTATGTGAAAATTGTGACACAAACGATTAACGAAACCCTTTACAGACTATAATGGTACTCACATGGAGTAACTACCAGTAATATTAATCAAAGGTAGTCCATGTAGGTAGTCCAGCTGGGTATTGTAGTCCCTGCATGGACTGGGCCAGTGTTTTGTCCACCACGGTCAGTCATCTGAGACCAGAGCACAATATTCCTAACTGAATCCAATTTTTTTGTTCTGCACTCGTCTTAAACAAACACTAAAAGATTTATACTAGAAATTCGGTATGTGTGTATTAGATTGCACATGTTAATAAATTTGTGAAAAAATGCTATAATTTCTTTAATATTATTTTAGAAATCACCTGCAAATTGGCTTCCTGCTTCATTTAACCAGGTAAGAACGGTTACTAGGNACAGTGGTGGATGAACAGTGACCATGGGTCCAGGGACTATCCCAATGGACTACACCAATATGGGTTCCAAACACACCAACCATAAGCAGGGTTCTTGATACACTAATCACTAACAACCATGGTGGTATAAATAATAGTTCTACTCAGTAAATTGACACTGTCGCCTGATGAAGACCTGCAGTACACGGCCAAATTGTCACAATCAATATCTATGTGAAAATTGTGACACAAACGATTAACGAAACCCTTTACAGACTATAATGGTACTCACATGGAGTAACTACCAGTAATATTAATCAAAGGTAGTCCATGTAGGTAGTCCAGCTGGGTATTGTAGTCCCTGCATGGACTGGGCCAGTGTTTTGTCCACCACGGTCAGTCATCTGAGACCAGAGCACAATATTCCTAACTGAATCCAATTTTTTTGTTCTGCACTCGTCTTAAACAAACACTAAAAGATTTATACTAGAAATTCGGTATGTGTGTATTAGATTGCACATGTTAATAAATTTGTGAAAAAATGCTATAATTTCTTTAATATTATTTTAGAAATCACCTGCAAATTGGCTTCCTGCTTCATTTAACCAGGTAAGAACGGTTACTAGGTAAACCGATAAAAGGTAATGCCATCTTATTGCTAATATATGAATAATACACCTTGACTTTCTAACCCAGATTACAGGATGTTGACCAAAGGGGCAAGCAGGATTAAGGAGAGCTGACATTTTTGGTTACATTTAGCTTTCATGGTCAAAATAATAAAGTGATTTCGATCACTCTGAAACTGTGAAACAGTATCTTGCACTGAGTAAACAAAAGAAAAGTAAAAACAAAAAAAGTAATAATATTAAAGTATAATACTGTGCTGTATTAATCACAGTAAAATCTCCCCATAACATTTTATTTTTTCCCTTAGATCTTTTCAAATTATAAGACAAAGTGTGGAGACTTCAGAAGACTATTTAAAGATCTGCCTGACACTGAGCAACTTATAGTGGGTGAGGGAGTTAATTTTATATTTGATTGTGTGCACATGCATTGTAAGCAAGTATTAAATCAAATAATGTATCCTTTTTAGTTAATTTGATAAAAATAAACAGGGTAATATATTGCCCATATATTATATTAAAACAAAGCAGTTTTAGAGTTATTTTTTAAAATTGCCAACATACCAATGTAACTTTTATCAAGAAATGCCTGCAGTTTAGTGGTGGCTGTTCATCACAAAGAGAGGAGAGCAATTTACTTCTTCCATTTAACTTCTCAAACTAATCAATAATTCATAGACAAAATGCAAAGGAAATTAATTGTTTAATTAGTGGTTGGACCAAAGTGTACTCCTTTTGACAGCTTTAATTTCTCCTTCTAAAATCACCTTGTGTTAGAAGTCATATGAAACACTTGACATAGTGTTTTGACATCACACATTCAAACGCCTCAAAGTTATCAAAAATACTCCACTGTGCATCAATTCTTTTCTCAGTGTTTGATTATCTTGTGATGAAACACTGTTTCTCATGTTTGATTTTTTACGAGACGTAAAAGTATGGACTTTTTCAGTTTTTAGTTTTAACTGTCCCCTCCTTGATAACAGTGAACAAGAGCTCCCGTAAAGTTCTGTTGGTCCACAGCTGATGAAAAATTTGACACAAGTCTGTTTCTGACTGTTGGCCGAATATTGGCCAGCTGTCAGCCAACTGTGGGGTGACTGTCTGCCAAATGTTGTCCGACAGTCAGCCAACAGTTTTCTGGGGAACCTGTACCAAAGATAACTTAAAACAATAATATTATTAATGTTTGATCAGTAGCCTTGGGTTGACATTTTTATTATCAATGTTTTCATGTCTCAATTTCTTACAGATTACTCATGTCGAAACGTCGCTCTATAGAATCAAGTACCGGCTGAAATACATAGAGTTTTGACCGATACAAAGATACGATTGTATAAACCGACCCTTTGTAAACACTCATAATGAGAGAAAGGATTATTCAGGTGTGACTTAAGTAGAATAAATGACTGTATGGAGAACTTTAAAGAAACTAACTTAAGTTAACTAAGTTACCTGTTCTCTTTTGGAGTAGACCCTACAGGCTGTTTACCGGCTGGGCATTAGAAATATCAGCAAATGTAATAATCTACATTTACTGATATTCTGATATTTCAATACTTAATAAAACCATAATAATTTATACAAACATATCAGTATTTCAATTTATGTTTTTATTTTCAAAATAGTGTTGTACTTAATTATAAATGAACATTTATTATCCCATTGACAATTACCTTTTACATTGTTTAAATACAAGGCAATGATTTGCTAGGAAAATCAGGTAAACCCACACTTGTAGTTTTAATAAATTTGAATGTTTGAACCTTCTGTAGGTTATGTTAAGAATCCAAAACTTTGTCTAAAATTTAAAAATTATTAATTTATTATCTAATAAACTACTTTAGGTCACAATTAAATGCACTGACGTCAATAGTATAAGGAAAGAAAAGACTGCCCTGGTAATACCCAATGCTGTACAAGTGTGCACAGAGACTGAAAAGGTAGGTTAATTTAGTACAAATAACTTTAACATTATTCCTCACAAAGTAAGAGTCATGGCCTGGACATGGCCGTCATGCAGGTTCCCCTGTTGTTTGTTTGTTTGTTTTTTGTCTGTTTTTCTTTTACTTCCTTATTGTCCCTTTACCCTGAGACTTTGTGTGGCTAGTATATTAAATTATTGTTTAGGACTGTGATGTAATGTATACAGGGTTGTCACTAAGATTTCAAGTTGCCAGGTAAATACAACAAGTAGGTGGAGAATTAGGCAGCTAGGGATTTCCTTTGGTTCTATTTTTCTTCGTTTTTTCAATGAAAATAGCCGGGGGAAAACCCTGGCATTCGGCTATTAATGACAGCCCTCTGTGTATGAGAAATGCGTATTATCTACCTGACTGTGTTCTTGGGTTGAGTTACATATAATATTAATACTTTTTCTGCTGCTGGAAGCAGCTTTGTGCTGTACTGAAGTCTACCCCTCTGCACCCTCCCCCCCACCCCCCCATACCTGATGTATTACAAAAAGGACTTAAGGACTTGCCTGTCTCTCCCTTTAAGTAATATGAGCAGCGTTAATTATACTGTAGTACTGTTGCAATTTATATATCACAATATCAGACAATAATGTTACTGAACTAAATGACATTTTTTGTTCTTTCAATCATAGTACTTTTTTGCTTCATTCATATCAAGAGACACTACATACACAGTTCTCTTCAGGATTTGGCAAAATGCATTATTAGACCAGGTACACTTAAATGTTACAGGGCTGTGCTCTAGCAGAGCTCAGTGGCCCTTGGTGCCCGACTTAAATTGCTCTAGCTTGGGTGACTAGAAAATCTCAGATTTTTCGTACAAATCATATGGTGGGCACCCAAGGTTTTACAGGTTCAGCGCACTGGACTTCCTTCAAATTTCCCCAGAGCACAGCCTTGTTTTATGTGTATTTTTGCAGACTTACTTTTGAAATCAAGATCAAGGGAACGCGTGTAGCATGGAGATAGAGACTAAAGGCTTGCTTTGTATGTGACTGAGAATTACTGAATTCAGAACACAAGAAGAGAAATTCCATGTTTTGATCCAGTTGCAAGTTCAACAACTTTACCTTTCATGTTGTTGTGCATGCTATAGTATTTTTATGGTCTTCAGCTTTGACAAATGTCAATCTTTGTCGGTGAAAAACATTTTTCTTTCCCTTAACAAAAAATGGAAATTTAATTGTCCTGGTTACATAAGATTTTTCATTCCAATTTTCTCAGCCACTAAGCCCATCAGAACTTATCCAGGTGGTTGGTAAATATTCAGAATCACATGATGTTAGTTCTGATAATGATGATGATTCTGATGATTCTGATGATGGCAAGGAGGTCCAACTGTCTAATGAATCCAGTGGAAGTGAAGCTGATGTTGAAGGAGAAATGCCATCTGGGGACAGTCTTTCATCACTGAGCCATAGCTCTATTGGAACTGAATTTGCAGTTGCAGACAATCAGGTAAAGAAATAAGTTGCCTGTAGATGGTGGTATTACCAACATTAATTTATTTATTTTTATTTATTTATTTTATGTTTCGTCAAAAAACCGTAATGATTGCGTGACTATGAGCATTGATTTAGTTAAAGTTTAAAGGGATTATGTTTAAGAACGTTGATTGACATTGATTCTATACATTGATTGAAAAGCATTAGGTTATTGTATTTCAAACCAGTTTTTTCAGTAATCGAAGTGAGAAAGAAGTTTATAGTCTGTTCATGAATCCGCTTACCTGAAGAACGTTTAAAGAATCTGCTAACCTGTAAAGTGAGACTGTTATAGCGACCCGCCACAGAAGTAAGTTTACATTGAATTTTTCTGAATTTAGCTACAAGATTAAGACTCGATTTGTGTTTGTTCTGATTGCGAATTATAAATGTATTTCTTTAGATCGAATAATTATTAAAGCTTGGCTTGATATTATGCGGTTTGTGGTGGTCATCACGAGCTAACCAGTTCCAAGGGGAAACACTTTCATTCGATTTCTTGTTGGATAAACTGCGCTAATCGCCGGACACGTGGCAAGGAAACGTAAAAATGGAGGCGGCGTTAAAGCAAGCTAAGATCGACCGTCGTACAGCAAAATCGGCATTTACAAGAGCAGGAAAAGCCGTGGTACATGGTGTAGAGCACAACCGGCCTGCCGTCGAGGTAAGAGAGGCCATAGATAAGCTCAAGGGAGCATATGAGATTTTAATAGAAAAACACGAAGATTATACGAAACTGATTGAAGACGATGCAGTTTACGAAAATGAGGAAGAATGGATGACTGAATGTCAAGAAAGATTTTTGAGGCTAGAAGTAGATGCTAAGATGTTTATAGAGAGCAAAGCGAAATCTAGCGCTAGTTACGTAGATTTAAGCGAAGGTCAAGACGACGCGTCCAAAACCCCTTTAGATCACAACAAAGGAATTTCAAATATACAGTCGGTAACACCTCAAACTAGCGAAGAGTCTCAATGCATTTCATCAAATCACCAAGCCCTTCCGGAAGATAGCGCCCAGCAGAGCATTTCGACAGCTAATGACCAGCATAATGAGGCGATAAATGAAGTAATTAATTCATCTTTGAATTATTCTGGACCAAGTACAAGTACAACTCACGCTGGTACTTGCACTTTCAAGCTCGAAAGACCAAAGCTTCCTGTATTTGCTGGAAATGTGCGTGATTATGCGATTTTTCGCTCGGACTTCAAACACGCGATCGAAGCCAAGTATTCAAAAAGAGACGCAATTACACTTCTTAGAACATGCTTGCGTGATAAACCGCTCGAGCTCATTAAAGGACTTGGAAGCGACTACGATGCCGCCTGGGAGTATTTGGATGCTATTTATGGCGACCCACGATTTGTGTCTGACACTGTAACCCAGGATATAGTCCAGTTTAAAGCGTTACAGGATGGAGAAGACGCGCGGTTTTGTGACCTCGTACATTTAGTTAAAAGATGTTACAACACCCTAAAGGAAGTTGGACTGCCCAGTGATATGGACAACAGTCACATGTTGTCTGTAATAGAACAAAAAATGTGCGCTGACGATCGAAAGGTGTGGGCTAGAGATCTGGAAAGGGAAAAGAAACCCCCTACCCTCAACGCTTTGATGAGCTGGATGACAGTTGAGATGAAATCTCGAATGCGCGCCACAGCCCCAATTAGAGTATCCGGATCAAACAGAAAGCAAATTAACCATCTTCAAGGAAACCAAAACAGAGATGATCAAGCCTGGTACAAATGTTGGTTGTGTAAAAATTCAAAGCATTGGCCGGATCAATGCCCTAAGTTCGCAGCCCTCAGCGTTGATGATCGCATCGCAACCGCAAAAGCGAATCACCTTTGCTTCAGCTGTTTGAAAAGGGCCGGAAGGGGACATACCATGGACTCCTGCAGACGTAAACAACAATGCACGCAACAGGAGAATGGGACACGATGTTCACAACATCATCATCCGCAGCTTCATAGGAGCAATACTGTTAAGATTAGTGTGGCTACATCAGGCAATATGAAAGAAGCTATCCTCCCAGTCCTCTCTGTAAATATCGGCAGCGCGAACGGACTGTTTAAATGTGGAAATGTGTTGTTAGACTCTGGGGTTCAAGTTAGCCTAATTCGACAGGAAACAGCAGATACCCTTGGGCTGAAGGGAAAAGATGTGTCAGTAACCGTTACTAAAGTGGGTGGCGAAGAAGAAACAATGAAGACAAAAGAGTATAGAGTTCAGTTGATCTGCATCGACGATAACAAACGCTATACCGTCAATGCAATTGGAATTGACAACATAAGCGACGAGATTCCAAAAGTTAAAACATCCCACCTGTCGGAGCTTCTTGGTCTATAAAATACCAGTTTCCGACGCGGAAAGGGACACGTTGATCTCCTCATTGGCATTGACCAGGCGCACATGCATGCCGGCGAAACGAAGGAAGTAAATCACCTGATAGCACGCAAGTCGCCAATTGGATGGGTAGTCTTTGGTGGAAAGGCTGAAGAAACTCCTGATGCAAGCGCCATATTACACGTTAAATACGCCTCGCCGATAGATTTGACAGACTTTTGGACAACAGAGTCCATGGGTGTGGCCGTCAAATCCTGCTTTTGCGACGCAGAAAAGTTAACTCAAATAGAGAGAGAAGAAGCCAAACTAATAGAAGAGTCGTGCATTAAAGTAGAAGGTCAGTGGATGGTCCCCTACCCTTGGAAAAAGGACCCAAGCCTGTTACCAGATAAGAGAGAGTTGGCAGTAAAGCACCTAGAGTCGACGGAAAGGCGTCTGAAAAGAGATTCTGAACAAGCCGAAGCCTATTGCAAGCAGATGGAAGAGATGGAAAGCATGGGGTTTGCCAGAAAGCTATCAAAAGAAGAAATTGATTCGTATCAAGGTCCTGTCCATTACATTCCCCATCACGCCGTTTTGAGACCAGAAAAAAGAAGCACACCTGTCCGCATAGTCTTTAATTCGTCTTCTTCATACCAGGGACACACCCTCAACGACTACTGGAAGAAAGGTCCTGATATGCTGAATGGTATATTTGGAGTTGTCTTGAGATTCAGAGAGCGACAAGTTGCAGTAATGGGTGATATCTCCAAAATGTATCACAGGATTCTCATCCCTGTGAAAGACCAGCACGTCCACCGCTTCCTGTGGAGAGATATGGAAATCGGTAGAGATCCTGACGTATATATCAAGACAGTTCTTACCTTTGGGGACAAGCCTGCACCTGCCATGGCCCAAATAGCCCTGAGAAAAACAGCCAACGAGAACAAGGCAGAATACCCAAAAGCAGCTGAAGTTCTAGAAAAAAGCACGTACATGGACGACATCTGTGAGTCAGTAGACACAAAACAAGAAGCTCGGGAATTAACAGATAGCATAGACAAGGTCTTGAAGACAGGAGGGTTCAGCGTTAAAGAGTGGATTTGCAATGAGACACTTAAACAGAAAGTCAACAGTACCGAAGAGAAAGAGATGAATCTGAACAAAGGAGACGAAGAAAAGGTCTTGGGAACTGTGTGGAATCTCAAAACAGACAAGTTCCATTTAAGAGTTGCAGCAGACCTCCTTAAGTTAGAAAACAGCTTAAGTCAAGTGCCCATGAAGATGACGAAGAGAAAGATCTTAAGTCAAGTAGCTCGGATCTACGACCCTATTGGATTTGCAGCCGCCTTTATAGTGAGAGCAAAAATAGGCCTACAAAAGCTGTGGCAAAAAGGGTTAGACTGGGACGACGAAGTACCACCTGCAGTTCAAGAAAGCTGGGTTTCACTTTTTCGAGAAATGAAGGAACTGGACAGCGTTTCCTTCGAAAGATGTTTAACAGTAGCTAATGCAGTGGAACCACCAATATTATGCGTTTTCGCTGACGCATCACAAGAGGCATTTGGAGCCTGCGCCTACGTCCGTCAGAAAAAGGATGACGACACACATGAAGTTAAGTTTGTCGCAGCAAAAAGCAGAGTAGCACCAATAAAACAGCTTACCATTCCTCGCTTGGAACTACAAGCAGCCGTTCTTGCAAGTCGCTTAGCCAAATCCATACAGGAAGAATCCAGGTTGCAGTTTACAGAGGTCAAGTTCTTCACAGATAGCACTATCACCTTGGCCTGGATCAGAAACTCGTCCCGTAGCTTTAAACCGTTCGTATCCTCCAGAGTGGGTGAGATACAAAGTACTACAGATCCAAACCAGTGGAATCACATCGCAAGCGAAGATAATGTTGCTGACGACCTGTCGCGAGGGATCCGTGTTAACGAGCTTCAAGGCAGATGGATGAATGGACCCCAATTCTTACGTCTTTCAGAGGACCAGTGGCCGATTCAGCAGACTCCACCACCTTCAGAGGAAGACATGGAGAGACGCCAGATTCACGTGTTGACTGCAGTCACTGCACAGAAAGCTAAATCAGTGATTGATCCATCAACGTTCTCAAGTTGGAGGAAATTAATACGTGTGACTGCACGAATAAGAAGACTAGCAGAGAAAATACGACTAAGGAAATTCGGTCAGCACCAAAGAGAAGGACCGCTAACTCCCGAAGAGCTTACAGAAGCAGAGAGATTCTGGATAAAGGAAGCCCAGAAGCCCTTGCACAGCCGAATGAAGCAAGGAGAATTCAAGAATCTGAGCCCCTTCACTGATGAACAGGGTGTGGTAAGAGTTGGAGGGCGAGTTGACCAAGCAATCATGTCTTACGATACTAGGCACCCTGCACTTCTTCCGAGTGATCATTGGATCTCAACGTTGATAACGAGACACGCACATCAACACGGACACAGTGGAGTCGCCGCAACAACAGCAAAGATTAGGACAAAGTACTGGATCCTCAAGGCGACGAAGTTGAGCAAGTCAGTTAAGTTTAAGTGTGGGTTCTGTAAGGAAATGGCTCACAAGACTGAAACTCAGTTAATGGCAGACTT